CCACCCTTCTCTTTCTTGCCCTATTTTTGTTGCCTGGTCGTAGAATCCAATTAACCCTGTGAGGCAGGACCTGCCATCCCTGAACCCATGTTGATGCTGTGTTACAAAGTTCCTTCGCTCCAGATGTTCCCCTAGCTTTCTTCGCACAATCTTCTCCATCAGCTTGCATGCTATGCAGGTTAAGGACACTGACCTTGTAATTCAGTGCCTCATGTCTATCCCCTTTCTTGTATATCGGGAACACGTTAGCTGCTTTCCAAATTTCTGGCAATTCCCCTGTTGCCAGAGATTTGTTATACACTATGGAGAGTGGTAGGCACAGTTCTTCTGCTCCTTCCTTTAGTATCCAAGGGGAGATTCCATCTGGGCCTATAGCCTTTGTCACATCCAACTCTAGTAAAGATTTCCTTACTTCCCCGTTGGTAATCTCAAACTCTTCCAGTGGTTCCTGGTTAGCTATTCCCTCTCTTATCTCTGGGATTTCTCCTTGCTCAAACGTGAAGACCTCCTGGAATTTCTTATTCAGTTCCTCACACACTTCCTTGTCGTTTGTAGTGAATCCTTCTGCCCCTATCCTTAATTTCATAACTTGTTTCTTTACTGTTGTTTTTCTCCTGATGTGGCTATGCAGCAATTTAGGTTGAGTCTTTGCCTTGCTTGCGATGTCATTTTCGTATTGTCTTTCTGCCTCTCTTCTCATTCTGACATATTCATTCCTGGCATTCTGGTATCTTTCTCTGCTCTCCAGTGTCCTGTTATTCCTATAGTTTCTCCATGCCCTTTTACTTTGCTGCTTAGCTAGCCTACATCTCTGATTAAACATGGGTTTCTCATCTTCATTTCACTGGTTTCATTTTTTTTTTGACGGACTACATCACTTTTGCGTGATGTAGTCCATCATATCTTGGGCCGTCTTTCCCCTGAGCTCTGTTTCCCATGCTATATCTGTTAGGAATTTTCTTATCTCCTCATAGTTTCCCTTTCGGTATGCTAACCTTTTTGTTTTAGTATCCCTCCTCGAGTTCAATAACCCTTCTTCAATCAGGTACTCAAACACAAATACACTGTGGTCGCTCATTCCTACTGGGACCTCAAAACCGATTTCTCTTATGTCAGAGTCGTTCAGAGTGAAGACCAGGTCGAGTCTCGCTGGTTCGTCATTTCCTCTCATCCTTGTGGGTTCTCTGACATGCTGGGTTAAAAAGTTTTTTGTCACCACCTCCAGTAGTTTAGATCTCCACGTATCCTCGCCTCCATGCGGTTCCTTGTTCTCCCAGTCAATTCTTCCGTGATTGAAGTCGCCCATGATGAGCAGGTGAGATCTATTTCTACAGGCAACAGAGGCTGCCCTCTCAATTATAGTGTTAACTGCCATGTTCTTGTTTTCATACTCTTGACTGTGTGTGTGTGTGTGTGTGTGTGTGTGTGTGTGTGTGTGTGTGTGTGTGTGTGTGTGTGTGTGTGTGTGTGTGTGTGTGTGTGTGTGTGTGTGTGTGTGTGTGTGTGTGTGTGTGTGCGTGTGTACTCACCTAGTTGTACCCACCTAGCTGTGCTTGCGGGGGTTGAGCTTTGGCTCTTTGGCCTCGCCTCTCAACCGTCAATCAACAGGTGTACAGGTTCCTGAGCCTATTGGGCTCTATCATATCTACACTTGAAACTGTGTATGGAGTCAGCCTCCACCACATTACTTCCTAATGCATTCTATTTGTCAACCACTCTGACAATAAAAAAGTTCTTTCTAATATCTCTGTGGCTCATTTGGGCACTCAGTTTCCACCTGTGTCCCCTAGTGCGTGTGCCTCTGGTGTTAAATAGCCTGTCTTTATCAACCCTGTCAATTCCCTTGAGGATCTTGAATGTGGTGATCATGTCCCGCCTAACTCTTCTGTCATCTAGCGACGTGAGGTTTAATTCCCGTAGTCTCTCCTCGTAGCTCATACCTCTCAGCTCGGGTACTAGTCTGGTGGCAAACCTTTGAACCTTTTCCAGTTTAGTCTTATGCTTGACTAGATATGGACTCCATGCTGGAGCCGCATTCTCCAGGATTGGTCTGACATATGTGGTATATAATGTTCTGAAAGCTTCCTTACACAAGTTTCTAAAGGCCGTTCTTATGTTAGCCAACCTGGCATATGCTGCTGATGTTATCCTCTTGATATGACCTAAAGGGGACAGGTCTTGCGTGATATCAACCCCTGGTTCAACCCTTCGCATTAGTTTTTCATCGTTTGCAAACTTTGACATATAAGATTACAGTTAAATCATTTACATAAATGACGAATAATATGGGTCCCAGCACCGATCCTTGAGGCACCCCGCTTCTTATTTTACGCTTGTCTGACTTTTCGCTCCTCACTGTCACTCTTTGACTCCTGTATTTTAAGTAATTATTTACCCTTGTTAGTCCGTCTACTCCCGCCTACCTCCCGAGTTTGTATAGTAACCCCTTGTGTGGTTCTGTATCAAAGGCTTTTTGGTAGTCCAGAAATACGCAATATGCCCAGCCTTTTCTGTCTTGCCTTATCATTAAAGTTCAAGATATTCTTCAGACATGATAACCCTTTCCTACAGCCGTATTATTGTTGTATACAAACCAAGTTCTTCCTAGGTGTGTAAGTTGACTTAACCCTATAATTCTTTCAGGTACTTTGCAAGGGATGCTGGTAATTGTCACTGGTCTGTAGTTAAGTGCCTCTTCTCTACCTCCTTTCTTGTAGATTGGCACCACATTTGCTGTCTTCCAGCAGCTGGGCAATTCTCCCTTCGTAAGTGACTAAAGATTAGTGCTAGAGGTAGGCTGAGGGTCTGTGCTGCTTCTTTTAACATCCATGTGTACTCAGCTAGTTGTGCTTGCGTGGGTTGAGCTCTGGCTCTTTGGTCCCGCCTCTCAACCGTCAATCAACAGGTGTACAGGTTCCTGAGCCTATTGGGCTCTATCATATCTACACTTGAAATGTTCTCCAAGACGTGTGTGCGTGAGAGAGAGTGAGTGTGTGTGTGTGTGAGTTTGAGTGTGTTGGCATTCGCTTTCCAGGGCAAACATCGATCTTTTATCTTCAGAACGCCTACAGTAATCGGCTTATGTTTTTTTTGTAATTCACAGCAGAGAGAGGGAGAGAGAGAGAAGTGAGAGCGGGGATGGGAGGGCAGAATACTTTCCAAATCCTTCCTCGGGTCAGAGAGAGACAGAGAGGAGATGGAGGGGATTATTGATGGGAGGGGAAGAAGAGGGGGAAGGAGGATATCTCTCTCTCCTGATATCTACCTCATATCTGTCTCGTAAGGTATCAGACGACATGATACCTTACCTCGTATCTATCCAATAGAAGGTTGTGCGTTAATTAAGGCAGGATTTCTCCCTGGTTATGAAACATGTCAACAAAGACAAAGTTCGTACCACAGGACAAGGTCTGATAATTGTTGCAGTTGAGGTGTAGTTGATGTTGGTAATTATCCTGTGGTTGTTGGCGCTGTGTCTCCGGTGATGGCTGGCACACCTTCCCTACCCTTCACCACCTTCCCTACCCTTCACCACCTTCCCTACCCTTCACCACCTTCCCTACCCTTCACCACCTTCCCTACCCTTCACCACCTTCCCTACCCTTCACCACCTTCCCTACCCTTCACCACCTTCCCTACCCTTCACCACCTTCCCTACCCTTCACCACCTTCCCTACCCTTCACCACCTTCCCTACCCTTCACCACCTTCCCTACCCTTCACCACCTTCCCTACCCTTCACCACCTTCCCTACCCTTCACCACCTTCCCTACCCTTCATCACTTTCCCTACCCTTCACCACCTTCCCTACCCTTCACCACCTTACCTCCCCTTCCCCACCTTCCCTACCCTTCACCACCTTCCCTACCCTTCATCACCTTCCCTACCCTTCACCACCTTCCCTACCCTTCCCCACCTTCCCTACCCTTCATCACCTTCCCTACCCTTCACCACCTTACCTCCCCTTCACCACCTTCCCTACCCTTCACCACCTTCCCTACCCTTCATCACTTTCCCTACCCTTCACCACCTTTCCTACCCTTCACCACCTTACCTCCCCTTCCCCACCTTCCCTACCCTTCACCACCTTCCCTACCCTTCCCCACCTTCCCTACCCTTCACCACCTTCCCTACCCTTCACCACCTTCCCTACCCTTCACCACCTTCCCTACCCTTCACCACCTTCCCTACCCTTCACCACCTTCCCTACCCTTCCCCACCTTCCCTACCCTTCACCACCTTCCCTACCCTTCCCCACCTTCCCTACCCTTCACCACCTTCCCTACCCTTCCCCACCTTCCCTACCCTTCACCACCTTCCCTACCCTTCACCACCTTCCCTTCCTTTCACCACCTTCCCTACCCTTCACCACCTTCATTACCCTTCATCACTTTCCCTACCCTTCACCACCTTCCCTACCCTTCACCACCTTCCCTACCCTTCATCACCTTCCCTACCCTTCACCACCTTCCCTACCCTTCCCCACCTTCCCTACCCTTCATCACCTTCCCTACCCTTCACCACCTTCCCTACCCTTCACCACCTTCCCTACCCTTCACCACCTTCCCTACCCTTCACAACCTTCCCTACCCTCCACCACCTTCCCTACCCTTCATCACCTTCCCTACCCTTCACCACTTTCTCTACCCATCACCACCTTCCCTACTCCATCCACCTTCCCTACCCTTCACCACCTTCCTTACCCGTCATCACTTTCCCAACCCTTCTCAATCTTCCCTACCCTTCACCACCTTCCCTATCCTTCACCACCTTCCCTACCCTTCTCCACCTTCCCTACCCTTCATCACCTTCCCTACCCTTCACCACCTTCCCTACCCTTCATCACCTTCCCTACCCTTCACCACCTTCCCTACCCTTCACCACCTTCCCTACCCTTCACCACCTTCCCTACCCTTCACCACCTTCCCTACCCTTCACCACCTTCCCTACCCTTCACTACCTAAGCTTCCCAACATTACGTTTGTTTTGGGACTCTCATCACTATTCTTGGTATTCCCAACACTTCTTGGGACTCCCAACACTATTCTTGGGACTCCCAACACTATTCTTGGGACTCCCAACACTATTCTTGGGACTCCCAACACTATTCTTGGGACTCCCAACACTATTCTTGGGACTCCCAACACTATTCTTGGGACTCCCAACACTATTCTTGGGACTCCCAACACTATTCTTGGGACTCCCAACACTATTCTTGGGACTCCCAACACTATTCTTGGGACTCCCAACACTATTCTTGGGACTCCCAACACTATTCTTGGGACTCTCAACACTATTCTTGGGACTCCCAACACTATTCTTGGGACTCTCAACACTATTCTTGGGACTCTCAACACGATTCTTGGGACTCCCAACACTATTCTTGGGACTCCCAACACTATTCTTGGGACTCCCAACACTATTCTTGGGACTCTCATCACTATTCTTGGGTCTCCCAACACTATTCTTGGGACTCCCAACACTATTCTTGGGTCTCCCAACACTATTCTTGGGACTCTCATCACTATTCTTGGGTCTCCCAACACTATTCTTGGGACTCCCAACACTATTCTTGGGACTCCCAACACTATTCTTGGGACTCCCAACACTATTCTTGGGACTCCCAACACTATTCTTGGGACTCCCAACACTATTCTTGGGACTCTCATCACTATTCTTGGGACTCCCAACACTATTCTTGGGACTCCCAACACTATTCTTGGGACTCCCAACACTATTCTTGGGACTCCCAACACTATTCTTGGGACTCCCAACACTATTCTTGGGACTCCCAACACTATTCTTGGGACTCCCAACACTATTCTTGGGATTTGGGAAAGAGGGTGAGTGTGATGGTGGTGGTGAGTGTAGTGATGGTGGCGGAGATCATGTGTAGTGTAGACGTGTCTGGGGGGGGGGGCGACACCCCCCCACTCAAGCCAGTTTACAACACCCAACTTACCTTGTGTAGCGTCCGGGAAGCAACAGCCCCGCGGCCCGGTCTCCGACCAGGCCTCCCCGAGCTTTAATAACGAACAAAAATGCCGCAGGAATTTATATAGGTACGTATATAATATATTAAATAGTTGCATGTCCGTAGAGGAGACTAGGAGGCCAGACTCATCTAAGTCAGTCGGCACCAGTGTCTAGGGGAGAGGAAGACGCTCTCCAGGTGTCTTGCTATCTTCCTTTCTTCTTGCAACTCTTCTCTATCTCTCTTTACTCCTCCTCCTCCTACTCCTTCCCAACACCGCCAGTCAGGGAAAGGAAGGGTGGGAGGGGGAGGGAAGGGTGCCAGGGAGGGGCGGGGACAGTGGTGGCACTGGCATACATGCTGACGCTGGAGGGAGAGCCCAGGGAAGCTGTGTCAGCCCCGGCCGACATACCCAAGAGGTCCAGAAGGAATCTTTCACTCAATATATTCTTGCTGAGAGCACTTGTGACTCAGACGCTCAATATTCCCTGATATAGTGATATCTTTTTGTGAGGTCTTGCAAGTGAGTCTTGGTTATATGTTCTCATCTCGTCTCTCCCTCGTAGTGTACTAATATTGGGTTCCTTACTATTGGTGCTGATGAGTTTATTTAAGCTGCAAGATAAGATATCTTATCTTATTAGCTCTTAGCTCACCGGAAGACTGTGCTCTCAATTATCATTGATTTTGGGAGCTTTTCATTTGTTTTCATTAGGAATAAACTTTATTTAAAGTTAAGTTGCAATATTGTTAGTTACTGGATGAATCACGAGTGAACTTTGTACTAGAGTCTTCATATGGGCAGTTTGGTTCATCTCTCGTGTATCTGCGCCATGAGCATATATGACCCAGACACAAGACAGCCTCGGAATAAATGATCGCTGATGGAAAGGTCTTGAGATTGAGTGTGATGATTGCTGAGCGCCTTGTGTTGTGGTTGCCACTTTTGGCTGCCGACGATATTGGACGATGGTGGGGAGCCATGCGGACAGTAGCCTTACACATGCAAATATAACCGCCAACATCTCCCTAGTGCTGAAGGCTCCGATGAATTGACCAGTTGAACCAGACTGTGTCAAGGCGGGAGAGGAGTCTTCTTGCACGGTTTTCTATAATATCCGAAATTCGGATATATGAAGGAGAGGGGGAGGCAGGCCCTCCAGGCGAGTGGCCCGGTCTCCAGATGGGAGCGAACATGTGCCCCAGATATGGTTGTGTAGAGTCCCCCCCTGCTATCGTTAAGGTGTAAAGTGTTCACTAAGACTTTCAATTTCATGATTTACTTGCTTGTTACGTTCAGCAGTTAGATCTCCATGGTTACTAAAGAGTCCAGATTTACAGCATTACATCAGCCTCAGTCCAGGTATAATGTGAAGCAAAGTAATAATGATAATTATCTGTATTTTCTCTTCCGCAGAAGTTTTCTATCATCACTTACTCCTTGTCATTCTGGCTTAGCACTTTCTCCTGATAAATACCTTACCTTACCTAACTCTAGTAGGGGTAAATGCTAGAACTTCAGGATGATGAGAAGTTGATCGGTGAAGTAGACATTCCTAATCTAGAGTGGAACGTCAACTTTTCCGCGGCGCGTTCACTTGGAGGTGGTGTTGGTGGTGAGTCGTTCATGGGTGGTGACGAGCGACGCGTTCTCTTGGAGGCTTAGTGGTGGTGCAACAGTTCTGATTTATTAATGACTAATCACGTAATCTAATGAGTCCATCGCTCATTAGCTGTAGGCTGTAGGCTGTAGCCTGAGACATCAGGTGTTCGAAGCTCAGCGAGCAGTTCGTAGTGTCATTCCCAGTCAGGTTCACCTGCATTGTACAACACAGCAGGAGAATTGACAGGGTGGACAAAGACAAACTCTTCAGCACGGGTGGGACACGAACAAGGGGACACAGGTGGAAACTTAGTACCCAGATGAGCTACAGACACGTTAGAAAGAATTTTTTCAGTGTCAGAGTAGTGAATAAATGGAATGCACTAGGAAGTGATGTGGTGGAGGGTGACTCCATACACAGTTTCAAATGTAGATATGATAGAGCCCAGTAGGCTCAGGGATCTGTACACCAGTTGATTGACAGTTGAGAGGCGGGACCAAAGAGCCAAAGCTCAACCCCCGCAAGCACAATTAGGTGAGTACAGCAGTACTGCTGATTTCGGATTAGTCCAGTGAGTGATGCTTCATGGTGGCTCAAGGCAGCAGAACGATCTTCCCTGAAACACTGACGGCCAAAACACTTTATTTGCTCTGAAAATATTGTCTCAAAAACTCTTCCAGTAATTGACAGAAGCGACATTAGTCAGTAATAGTTGACTACTGAATGGTTCTCTATTTATGAACTGGAAAATGCTCTGCCAGCATCTCTGCCCAGCTGCATAACGATCACCATCTCGCCTTGTTCCGTCACTATTCCTTTACTTAAGATGTAAGACTTAAGGAAATGGTGAACTTTATCATATTTTGTTATCAAATACTGACAACGTCGGCAGAGTGCTTGACTCAAGCTGTTGAAGTTGCCTTCCATCATGGCAGTTATATGATCTGCCAGTTGGTCAGACGTTCCGAATTGCTGGTTGCCTCAGCCCCAGTCTCAGTGTTCTCCTGGGACTGGGTCCTCGGACGGACATCTTCCTCCCTTTCCAGTACTTTTTCTATCTCAATTCTATTTTTCACTCTCTCTCAGGAGAGCTATTTTGATGATTGGGAGGTATTGAGCCAAGAGGAACCTTCAATGGAGTACCCGCACGAAAACAGTTTATCATTTATGATAAACATGTTTGTCTATAAAACACAGAGAAACAGTCCCAGTGAAAACTAGTGGAATTACTCCAGCCTCGGGTCTCGAACCTCTGTTATTCCTGATCAATGTAATTAACCTTTCTACTGGGTGAGTTCCCATCCCATTGTTCTACAACGATGCAGGATAATGAGGTTAGTATATACAGAAGCGGACTGTAGTTCACTGTGTGAGAATGTAGAGAAATTAGAAATGTTGGTAAACAAATGGTTGTTAAACTTCCATCAGATCATGTGCAAGGTAATGAGGAGACTAGAGGGAAATTATAACATAAAATAAAGCTAGCAGCAGCAGTCATAAAGGAAGAATAATATGAGACCAAACATAGGATTGGATCAGTAGCTAACACAACACTCACGTGTATGTATAGTTTCCGGTGAGTTTAAACGTGGTTTCTTTAAAGGCTCAAGAAAATTCAACTAGTAGAACTAGTAGGCATCCACCAGTCTCAGGAGACTATGGAGTTGAGCTCTGGTTGTTCATCTGGAGTGGCCTCTCCAGGGCGCAAAGTCAGGGTAGGTTGATACGAAGGAGAAGCTGTTACTCATGCAGCAGGTGCCCACTCTCCATCGCGCCGAAAGTCTCCAGTGGAATGGCAGACGCCAATACGATTGGTTCCGGCGCCGTCGCGGGAACTGTCAGAACGAGGTTGAAGGCAACAACGAACTGCCCCCAGGGGCTCCAGCTCCGGAGTTGACCTCGAAGTTTGTGAAAGAAGACACAGGGACTCCAGACCCGGAGACCGCCGTGGTCGGGGCCGGAGAAGAACCACCCCAGCAAGGGCAAGAGCCACCCCAGCCTCCTGAAGCAGAGCCTGGGGGGCCGCACGAGCCCCAGGAGGTGGACGGCCCGGTCCCGCACCTAAAGGGTCCTGATAGCGATTTTCACAGCTCCCTTTCACCGGAGGCCCGCTTCCTTCCTGACCCAGCAGAAGGAAGAATAATAATTATTGATTACAACCATTATTGTGTACTCACCTATTTGTACTCACCTAGTTGTGCTTGCGGGGGTTGAGCTCTGGTTCTTTGGTCCCGCCTCTCAACCGTCAATCAACAGGTGTACAGGTTCCTGAGCCTATTGGGCTCTATCATATCTACACTTGAAACTGTGTATGGAGTCAGCCTCCACCACATCACTGCCTAAAGCATTCCATTTGTCAACCACTCTGACACCAAAAAAATTCTTTCTACTATCTCTGTGGCTCATTTGGGCACTCAGTTTCCACCTGTGTCCCCTAGTGCGTGGGCCCTTTGTGTTAAATAGCCCGTCTTTATCTACCCTGTCAATTCCTCTGAGAATCTTGTACGTAGTGATCATATCCCCCTAACTCTTCTGTCATCTAGCGACGTGAGGTTTAATTCCCGTAGTCTCTCCTCGTAGCTCATACCTCCCAGCACGGGTACTAGTCTGGTGGCAAACCTTTCAACTTTTTCCAGTTTGGACTTATGCTTGACAAGATATGGACTCCTAGCAGGGGCTGCATACTCCAGGATTGGTCTGACATATGTGGTATACAAAGTTCTGAACGATTCCTTGCACAAGTGTCTAAATGCCGTTCTTATGTTAGCCAACCTGGCATATGCTGCTGATGTTATCCTCTTGATATGAGCTTCAGAGGACAGGTCTGGCATGATATCAATCCCCAGGTCTTTGTCTCTCTCTCTCTGACTCGTGTAGAATTTCATCTCCCAAATGATACCTTGAACTGGCCTCCTGCTCCCTATACCTATCTTCATTACATTACATTTGCTTGGGTTAAACTCTAACAACCATTTGTTCGACCATCCCTTTAGTTTGTATAGGTCTTCTTGAAGCCTCAAGCAGTCCTCCTCTGTCTTAATCCATCTCATAATTTTGGCATCGTCAGCAAACATTGAGAGGAATGAGTCTATGCCCTCCGGGAGATCGTTCACGTATATCAGAAACAGGATAGGACCGAGTATAGAGCCCTGTGGGACTCCACTGGTGAGTTCACGCCAATCTGAGGTCTCACCCCTCACTGTAACTCTTTGCTTCCTATTGCTTAGGTATTACCTTATCCACTGGAGCACCTTACCAGTTACTCCTGCCTGTCTCTCCAGCTTATGTACCAGCCTCTTATGGGGGACTGTATCAAAGGCTTTCCGACAGTCCAAAAAAATGCAGTCTGCCCAGCTGCGAGAGTTCTTTGGGGCTTACAGTCCCCAAGCAGGCATTTGAAGGCATAGACGACGTTGGTTTCCTTCAGGGCGTTCTGCTTGGTGTCTGGGGATTTTTTCATGAGTAGGTTGGCCGTTTTTTTGTTTTTGTAGTAAATTATCAATTGTATTTTCTGATTTTTGTCTGTAGGGATAACGTTCCTATTAATAATATCTGTCAGGACACTTTCCTCCATTTTATGAGCCGTCAAAAAGAAGTTCCCGTAAAACAGTCTAATAAGGGGTTCAGGTGTTGTGTTGGTTGACTCTTCAGAGGTTGCATGGCGTTTCACCTTTCTTTTTATGACGTCTTCAACATAACCATTAGAGAAGCCGCTGTTGACTAGCACCTGCCTTACCCTACCGAGTTTTTGATCAACTTGCTTCCATCCTGAGCTGTGACTGTTATCCCGGTGACATAAGCATTGACAACACTCCTCTTGTACCTGTCTGGGCAGTCACTATTGGCATTGAGGCACATTCCTATGTTTGTTTCCTTAGTGTTGACTGCAGTGCGGAAGCCTCCGTTCCTTTTCGTGACTGTTACATCTAGAAAGGGCTGTTTCCCATCAGAACTAGCATAAGAACTAGTCTCTTATGTGGTACTGTGTCAAAAGCTTTCTGGCAATCCAAAGATATGCAGTCTGCCCAGCCATCTCTTTCTTGTGTGAGTTTTGTTGCAAAGAATTAAATCAATCCTGCGAGGCATGATTTGCAATCTTTGAACTCATGTTGATGCTGTGTTACAAAGTTCTTCCACTCCGGATGTTCCACTAGCTTTTTCGCACAATCTTCTCCATCCCCTTGCATGGTATGCAAGTTAGTTCACTGGCCGGTAGTTCAGTGCCTCCTGCCTATCCCCCTTCTTGTATATCGGGACTGCATTAGCAATCTTTTAAATTTTTGGCAGTTCATCTGTTTCCAGTGATTAGTTATACACCATGGAGAGTGGCCGGCACAGAACTTTTGCTTCTTCCTTCAGTATCCAAGGTGAGATTCCATCCGGGCCTATAGCCTTTGTCACTACCAACTCTAGCAGATGATTTTTCACCTCCCCACTGGTAATCACAAACTCATTTAGTGGTGTTTGGTTAGATATTCCCTCCCTCTCTCTCTCTCTCTCTCTTGAACGTTCCTTTGCTTTACTGTGAGGACCTCATGGAATTTCTTATTGAGTTCCTCGCAAACTTCCTTGTCGTTTGAAGTGAATTTGTCTACCCCTATCCTCAGTTTCATTACCTGTTCCTTCACTGTTGTTTTTTTTCTGATATGACTGTGCAGCAATTTAGGTTGAGTCTTTACCTTGCTTGCTATGCCATTTTCATATTGTCTTTCTGCCTCTCTTCTCACCTTGATGTATTCATTCCTCGTGCTCTGGTATCTTTCTCTGCTCTCAAGTGCCATGTTATTTTTATAATTTATCTACGCCCTTTTCTTTTGTTCCTATGCTAGCTTACATCTCTGATTATACCATGGGTTTCTCGTCTACATTTCATTTCTTTCCTTTTAGACTGGGACGAACTTGTCTTCTGTCTCCTTACGCTTCAGTGTAATGAGGTCCAACATGTCTTGGGCCGCCTTTCTTCTGAGCTCTGTTTTCCATGTTATATCTGTTTGGAATATTCTTATTTCCTCATAGTTTCCCTTTAGGAATACAAGCCTTTTGTTTTCTGAGCCCTTCCTTGGGTATATTAGCCCTTCACCGACCAGATACTGTTATGACCATGGTAGCCTGGGTAGAACGAGTTTACCTTCGTGAGAGTTATTCTGCCTCAAAAAACCTGAGACTGAGAGGTCATAGGAAAGATGTTTATATTAAATAATTGAATAAACGTCAGTGAGTAATCTCAGGATACTACCAGAGGATGGGCGTTGGTAATAAGTGACATGAAATGAGATGTTGATACTTTGGGGACGTGAAGTTATGCTAGCAGGAGGTCGTGACCTCACTCAAGGGACTCAAGTGACGTCGTGCTTTCGTTGATTCTCCCGGAATAAGGAAGAATATAATTCCCTGTGTTAGTGCTGGAGTGAAGCCTACTTGTCTACAAGTGTGAGGAAGCTGGTGGGGACATAGTACACCATTTGTTTGTGATTTTGATATATTAGAGGCGACCTGGAAGAGAGTGTTGTTCGTGCCTTGGTGAAACTTTAATTGTTGTGCCTTCAGGAGGAAGGAAGTAAGCAGGTGTTTCTGTTATGGCGCCTGATAGGCGACGTTGTGAACTCAAGTCATGGACTGAAGGAAGCCTTGTGAAGCAGTCCTGAAGCACTTTTGTGGGCGAACTATGTGAGCGCAATGTTTGAGCTCCAATGAGAGAGCGTTCTCACGTCAGAGATTTCGTCGGTAAGCCTGCTTAATCATTAGTTAATCTAGCAACTAGTGTTTGATTATGTGCCCAGTTATCATAAGGACATGGCAGAGGGAGCAGTGGTACCTCTGCCCGGGCCGAAGGTCAGTGGATGACTGAGGGAGAATCCCCCTCAGCGTCTCGACGGGAGCGGCATGCGTCAGGACATGTTCCCAGGTGGACCCGCCCAGGGTGGGGGAGGACCCACATTGACGGAGCCGTAGTGCCGGCCAAAGAGATGTCAGATGGAGGAGTTTATTTTCTGTGCGTACATTTAATTATGTTTTGTTAGGAAAACATTTTTATTGGTATGGTAATTGAATTTCAGGTTTGTTTGGGAAGAAGTTGAAGGAGGAACTTCGAGGTTAGAGGAGAAGAAGTTAATGGAGGAACTTCGAGGCTGGAGAAGAAGTGTATGCATCAGAGCATCTACTCTGTGGCAGAGCACAACTCCACAGTGAAGAATTGACTTCAACAGTGTAGAGGAGCTACACGTGTCTGTAGAATCAGTGGTGAAGCATCACTGATGTTGGAGCAGGACTTCGTTGTGCAGCAGACTGGGAGGACTGCAGAAGTGCCTTTCCTGATATTTTGGAGGACCCAGAGATATATATTGGTATTGAGCCTCTAGGAGCAGAACAGAGATTCATGGTGGATAAACATAACTGTATAAGGGAAGTGTTTGAATGCTTCTTGGCATGTAAGACACAGTGTAAGGTCAGAGATCGAGTTCTTCTTTTGTTGGGGATACTTATGTAGATGTTTCTGGTGTTTCAGCTCCAAGCTGAGTTTCATATACTTTTAGAGCTGAGGATACAGTATTGTTGTAACAAGATTTCAGACCCATTTAGTGAGGGAACAGAAAGTGGTAAGTCAAAAGTTGAGCAGCCATTTGATATGGACAGTTGAAGAGGCCAGGATATGATATTGGGATGCTACCGGGTTGTAGCAGGTTAGAGTGTTGTATGATAATGTTCTATTTTATATGTCATGTAAAACCAGAATAAGAGAACTGAGTTGGAACAGGAGAAAAAAAAGAGAAAGCCCAATATGAGAAAGAAAAATAGAAAACAAAACAAATAGAGATAGAAGCCAATAGAGCTTTGATGGCGCAAAGGATTGCTCTGGAAAGAGATTGAACCTGGATTGCCAAAGATTACCACACATGTTTTGCACCCACTGGATAATAAAGTTAGAGAAAAAGACATTCCCCTATTTGTGCGTGAGGAGTCATAGAGCTTCTTCGAGCACTTTGAGAAGATAGCAAACATCAGACAGTGGCCGCAGGAAGAGTGGGCTCAATTGGTACAGTTACGGTTGACCGGCGCTGCCAGAGAAGCGTATAACCAATTGTCTTTGGAGGAATGCCAAGATTACTAGACTGTGAATAGCAGTGTATTGCGTTCTTTACTGTTAACTCCTAAAGCTAACAGAAAGCGCTTCAGAGAAATGATGAAGGTTCCTGCAAGTACGTTTGCTGAGACGGCAAGAGACCTGGAAAGGCGTTTCCAGAAATGGATAGAAGCTGTCGGTGTAGAATTCTATAGTGATTTGAAACAATTGATGATTATGGAGAAATTTCTGGAAATGATGCACCCTGAAACGAAATTTAAGATCCAAGAGGCAGGAGGGAAGAATGTGAGAGACGCAGCATATAGGGCAGATGTGATTACAGAGGCTTATCGGAGCCTAAGGGAAAGCAGAATGAAGAGCGATATGAGACGTAATTATGGCAGACCAAGTGGAGTATGGGAGGACAAAAGTGTCGGGGGCAGGTAAATAAGTATGGTGGCCCCAAACCTAGTGAAGGAAAGTTGCTGAGTCCGCCGGCCGGAGCTAAGCGAGAAACTTATTATGTACCGAGGAGTCAAGAGTCCAGCCACACCCCAACAGAGTGCAGGTGCTGTGCCTGCGCAGAGAACCTCGAACTCGAGTGGACAGAGTCAAAGCTACTCAGGAGGATATAGAAGAGACTTCAATAGATGCTATAAATGTAATGGACGTGGTAACATGATGAAAGATTGTCGGAGGAGCCAGAGAGTTGTGACCCAGACCGTGTGTGACACCCGAAATGAATATATTAATGTATTACAGGACAAACCGCAGAAAGTGAACTTGATGAGCAAGAGGTATAGCCAGTTCATTAGTAAAGGTTGGGTTAGCATAGAAGGTCAACCTGAAGTGGGAGTTAGTATCTTAGGTGATACGGGAACAAATCAGAGCTTGATTCTAAGAAGACTGATCGTGGTTGATCGACTTTTAGATGGCAGTCGGAAAATAAGGGTGTATGGGTTATTGTCTGAGGGTAACATGCCCATATGTGCTGTCAGGCTGAAGTCAGACTATTTGCCGGCTGAGGTGATGTTGGGAGTGTGTCCCGACATACTTGTTCCAGGAATCGAAGTGATCCACTGCTGGTTGACCAACAATAGCGGGAGTGTTGCTGCCGAGGTCAGTTGTTTGTTCCGTCAGGGAACGCTCGGACGCTGTCTGCCTGTATGCAAGTTACAGTCTGGTGCAATAACCAGAGCTCTCTTTTGGAGGTTTAAGTCCCAAAATCCCCAACCCTCTCAGGGCAGAACAGTACTCAAACATCAGTACACTGTGATCGCTTATTCTCACGGGGGCTTCGAAACCGAGTTGCCTTATGTCGGAGTCATTCAGAGTGAAGACTAGGTCTAGTCTTGCTTGTTCATTGTTGCCTCTCATTCTTGTGAGTCCCCTGAAATTCTGACTTAAAAAGTTTCTTGTTGCCACTTCCAACAGTTTAGCTCTCCATGCTTCCTCACCTCCATGTGGTTCCTTGTTTTCCCAGTCTATCCTTCTGTGATTGAAGTTCCCCAAGAGGAAAAGATGGGATCTATTTCTACAGACAGCAGAGGCTGCTCTCTCAATTATAGTGTTAACTGCCATGTTGTTTCTGTCATACTTTTCCCTGGGTCTTCTGTCGTTTGGTGGTGGGTTATATATCACTTCTACTACTACTCTTGGTCCTCCCATCGTCATGGTGCCTGTAATGTCGTCTCTGAACCCCTTGCACCCTGGGATGACCATCTTTTTGAAACTCCATTCCTTTCTCATTAGTAGGACCACTCCATCTCCTCCCCTTCCTTCCCTCTCTCTCTCCCCTGATTATAGTGTAGTTCTGAGGAAACACCGCATTTGTTTATGATTCCTGAAAGTTTGTTTCCGTGAGTTCAATAATATCTATGTTCCCTTTTTGTGCTCTTTCCCTAAGTTCACTTGCCTTGCTTGTAATCCCAACTCTGTTCAACTACATCACCTTGAAACTGACTCTCTTCTTTCCATGCTCAGTTTCTGTTGATTCCACTGGAGTAGGGCAACAAGGGGTGTCTGGGATGGTAAGGCCTAGGATAGAGGACCTGGGGAATCTAAGGGAGAGGAGGAAGGGAGGGTTCGGTATGGGGAAGCTATCTGGGGGGGGGGGTGTATCAGAGAGGGTCTAGGGTTGGGGGTCAATTAGGGCTTGGGATGGGGAAGCAGGAGAGGCATGTCACTGCCCCTCCTGCAATGGGGGGAGGGGAGGTCATTGGTTGGAGAATGCAGGGGAGCCTGGAGTAGGGGGTTCGAGAGGTCAGGGGTTGGGGAGGGAAGGGGAGCCTGGGGTGGTGGGGCAGTGTGTGTGTGCGTGTGTGTGTGTGTGTACTCACCAATTTGTACTCACCTATTTGTGCTTGCAGGATCGAGCATTGACTCTTGGATCCCGCCTTTCCAGCAATCGGTTGTTTACAGCAATGACTCCTGTCCCATTTCCCTATCATACCTAGTTTTAAAAGTATGAATAGTATTTGCTTCCACAACCTGTTCCCCAAGTGCATTCCATTTTTCCACTACTCTCACGCTAAAAGAAAACTTCCTAACATCTCTGTGACTCATCTGAGTTTCCAGTTTCCACCCATGTCCCCTCGTTCTGTTATTATTACGTGTGAACATTTCATCTATTTCCACTTTGTCAATTCCCCTGAGTATTTTATATGTCCCTATCATATCTCCTCTCTCCCTTCTTTTCTCTATTGTCGTAAGGTTCAGTTC